GGGAGCGTCAGGGGCGCAGCGGAGGGGCCGCCCGCGGCCAGTGGCCCCCGCCCCGCCGCGTCCCCATCCTCCAGCTGAAGGGCCAGCCTCGTGGGCGTTGCCTGGAGAAAGGGCCAGCATCGGGCTCCACCTGCTGCAGTCTCAGGGCCATTCTGGATTCCCACCGCGCCAGGTGGCCCTTTGGCTCCCTCCTCACAGCCGTGCCCACCGTGGGTTCCAGGGATGGCCAGGCCACGAGGACGGGGACAGACACACCTGCTGGCAGCCCCAGGGGGGCAGGGCCCAGAGACGGCCCGCTTACTGCTGTGTCCCCAGTACCGATCAGTCCAGAGAGCACTCGGGGTTCTGAAGATTCTTACATCCACCTCCGCTCAGAACCCCCCTATGGCCCCACGCTGCTGGGGGGGGTGGCAAGCGAGCAAGAGCCCGAGGCCGACAGCTCGCGGCTTTGCCCCTCCCTCTGCTCCAGCCACATGCCCACACCGCCTCCAAGACCCGGGCTGCCTTCTCTGCAGTACCCCGGTTAAGGCCTGGCCGTGGTAGACGCTCAGCAAATGCCCACGGAGTAGGGAATGGCCTCTGCTCATTTTACGGAACAGATGGGCTGGGCAGGGGAAAGAGGAATGAAAAGCCAGGGTCCTCGCCCTCGTGAGATCTCGCACCAGCGTCCCTCCCGCGTCTGGCGGCTGGTCGCCCCATGCCCCCCCTCACCATTCTGGCAGGGCTGCAGGCTGCACCGGTCCACCCTCTTCTCACAGTTGGAACCTTGGAAACCAGGTGGGCAGTGGCAGACGTAGGCAGAGTCTGGGTCAGCGCCCCCAACGCACAAGCCGCCATTGAAGCAAGGGCCATCGGCACAGGTCACCCCACTGACCTCACACCGCAAGCCGTAGAAGCCGCGGGGACAGGCACACTCGAAGGAGCTAGGTGTCTCCTGGGCAGGAGCGAGAGGCTTCAGACAGGAGGCTCCTAGGAGTAAAAGCCCATCTCCCTCCTGGGTCTTAACCCGACAAGTCCCGGTGTGCAGGGGCCTCACCTGGGCTCCTGGCAGGGACCAGAGAAGCCACCCCAACCACTGGCCTGTGCCAAGCTAATGCCACCTATGAGCCTCCTGGAGCTGACCATGTAGACAAATCCTATGTAGAAGCCCTAGCTCTAAGCCACCTCCTGTCTCCAGGCTTCTCTACACTCCCCTTCCCAGCCCTGACCTTAAACCCGGACCCTCTCTCCCAGGGTGGTGGTGGCCTCCAAGCTGTACTCTCGTAGTGCACACACCAGGCTCCTGCCCTCTCTGTGCCTTCCCTCCCACCATCCAGCCATGCCACTCAGCCATGTGCACAAGCCCCAGCACTGGGCTGATCCCAGGAAGCCTTCACTCGTGTGTGTGTGTGTGTGTGTGGTGTGTGTGTGTCTCCACCACACTCCCACTGGACAGCCTCCCCTCAGGAGGCAGCAAAGGACTCCAGCAGCTTTCAGTGCCACCTACCCAGTCTCTGCTCTCAATCCCAGCCCCACCACCAAAGCTTACTTCAGGGTACTAGGTGCAGGCTGGCCACCTCCAGGAACCCCTCCTTAATAACTACTTCCAGACACCCACACACACACACAGTTGGTATCTCAGGGAGCCCCAGGGAGGGTGTGCTGGGAACCCAGGACAAGGGGGAAGAGGGGATACTGACACTACAACTGCCCCCGTTGGCACACGGGTTCCCATCACAAGGTCCAGGCCCAGGGACGAGGCATCCAGCGGTGGCAGAGGACGGGCCCCGGGGCCCAAGGCAGCTGCTGGTTGAGACAGGGACCGTGCAGAGGGGCCCGGTCCAGCCCTCCAGGCACCGGCACTCATCCGGCTGCTCACAGAAGCCGTGCTCCGGGCTGCAGCCTGCCAGGCACACAGCTGTGGGGAACGGAGAGGCAGGGCAAGACAGGGAAAGGCCAGGGTCAGGGACTGGAAGCAGAAATGTTCCGCATGCTCTCCACATGCCACCAAACCTGCTCCTTGTGACAGACATCCTTATGGGCTCGATGGTATTACAGGGCCCCCTTTACAGAGGGGAAAACAGGCCCAGAGAGGCAAGGGAGGATGCACTGCTAGGGAAAAAGGGAGTGAGGATCTGAACCAGGTCTGTTTGCCTCAAGTGTCTGTGTGCTTGGAATTGGAAGCAGGATGAGATGAGAGCTTGCAAATCTGAGTCTGGAGAGAATGAGGGAGGGAGGTCTCAGACTGAAAAGGGAAGGCAAAAGCATCTTAGATTAGGGCAGGTTTGGGAAAATATGAATTAACTGAGGGTCTTGGGGACTTGGCAGCACTCTGGAATGTAGGAAGCATCTGAGGCAGTGATGGTGAACCTACCACACACGTGCCACAGCAGGTTGTTATCATAAGCTCTAAAAGGTTCCCCACTGCTGGTCTGAGCGACCCTGCATGGAAGTTAGGGACCCTAAGTTTAGACAGCATGCCAAGTAGCTCAGTAGATTAAAGCACCTCAGGCACAGGGGCCAGGGGTTGGATCTCCAGGCCTGTCATGCTGGTCCCACCCCCACGGCGCACTGAGGGGCAATTGAGACTGGGCATGGTGGCATGTGCTTGTAATCCCAGCTCTTGAGAAGCTGTAAACAGGCAGATCACTACAAGTCCGATGTAGTAGTGAGATCCTGAACACCCTACAGACCCTTCCCTAAAATACAAAAAAAGAAAAAAAGAAAGCAATGAAGGAGGCCAGGCATGGTACTGTGCACCTACAACACCACACTCAGGAAGCTGAGGCAGGAGGATGCAAGTCTGAGTCCAACCTGGGCAAACTAGCAATTTTTTAAAGCTTAAAATAACAACTGTGGGGGCCAGGGATATAGCTCAGCGGCACAGTACCTTCCTGGCAAATCCAAGGTCCTGAGTTCGATTCTCAGTCCCAAAAAATAAAAAACACATTTTAAAAGTTTTTATAAAGTGCTTGGGATGTTAGTTCCCCTTGAGTTTGATCCTCAATATTAAGGGAAAAAAACTAACAAGGAAGGTCATATATGATGGTGCACACCTGTAATCCCAGTTACCAACAGGATGAAGCAGAAGGATCCTGAATTTGAGGCCACTCTGGGCTACTTCACAAGACCCTGTCTCAAAATAAAAAGACATGAGACCAGGAATGGTAGTGCATGTCTGTTATCCCAGCACTCAGGAGGCTGAGTCAGGAGGATCCTTGCAAGTTTGAGACCAGCCTGAGCTACAAAGTGAGGTGAAGGCCAGCCTGAACTGCATAGAGAAAACCTATCTCTAGGGGCCGGAAAGATAGCTCAGCGCTCTAAAGCGCCTGCTTAGGCAAGCGTGCAGGGACCACGGTTGAATCCCCCGCACCACATGGAAAGAAGAGGCAGAAGTCCTTGGGATGAGGACCTTGGGGCAAGGGAGATTGGGAGAATTTTCTGAAGTGCTGGAGCTCAAGTAGGAAAGGCTTCAGAACTAGAAGAGCTTTGGGGTCTTAGACTCATGAAGGGGTGTGGGTATGGGTTGGGGGAACAAGAAAATAGTGTGAGGTTCCTGTTTGGCACAAGAAAAGCGCTTGGATGAGAGAAGGAGGCTGGAGTACCCAGGAAGGCCTGGAGAGAAGTCTAGGGTCCTCAGTTTACCCACAGATGGTACATGATAGGAGGAAGCTGAGCCCACGGTGCTAGGAAGAGGCTCAAAGTCCCCGATTCCTTAAAGAAGGTAGCTGGGTGGTGGAAGACTGAGGGCTGAGTTCAAAGGGCCGGAGGGAGACGGGATACGGTTGAACGCAGAACTCACGCGGGTCCTCGCACTGGTCCTCGAACGCAGCGCAGGGGCGCAGTTCCGGATCGCACCGCGAGGGGGCGCTGCGAGAACGACACAGGCGCGCACACGCGGCCCCGGCGGCGGGAGGCTCGCAGCGCGCGCGATAAGAGAAGTGCAGCTCCCAGGCGCCTGCGCGCTGCACGTCCCTGGCCCACGGACCTCCGGCTGCCAGTCGCCGCCTACCGGCCACGCGCGCCAGCAGGCTCCAGGCTGGCTCTGCAGGGAGAAGCAAGAGTACGAGGGTGTAGCTGTCCAGTTCCAGTCTCGGAACAGGCGCTGAGCGTGCCTGCTCGCTGGCTCCCCTGTGCTTAAAGTGAAACGAAAACACCCTTCTAGAGCCCTGGGGCGGGGGGGGGGGGGGCAGGAGAGGCGTCCTCTGACCCGAAGGGAGACTGGCAGTCACCATCCTCAGAAAAGGTGCGACTCCATCACCATGGTAACACGTCTCGTAGCAGCACCAGTAATATTCCCGTATTTGCCACAGAATCTTTGTGTATTAGTGGCGTGGTGGCACATGCCTGTGATCCCAGGACTCTGGGAAGCTGAAGCAGGAAAGTCTCAAACTGAGCCTAGTTTGGGTAATTTAGCAAGACCCTGTCTCAAAATAAAAAATTAGGGGGCCTGCCCCTTAGCTCAGTTCTTTAAGTGGCTGCTTCAACAAAGCACTCAGGCTCAGGTTACTGTGGTTGGATCCCCACAACTCAAGCCAGCCAAATCTGCCCTGAAGGCATTCAGTGCAATAAATAAATAAATAAATAAAAATAAAAAATTAAATTAAGGGGGGGGAGATGGCTCAGCAGTATAAGCGCTTCCCTAGCAAGTGCAAGGGCCTGAGTTCAATCCCCGGTTCTGCCAAAAATAATTAATTAATTAATTAATGGGGAGGAGTGTGGCTCAGTGCCTCCTTCCTTTCCACAGGAAAGGAGGAAAGGAAAAGGTGGGAGACCGCTAATGTCCTGTGACATTTGATGTCTCTTTCTGCACGGACAATAACATCTCCTGAGTAAGGCCACAACACATCCAAATTGTACCTCAAGGTCTTCTATCAAAATGGTGCAAGGACTCCAATTTCTAGATCACAAATTACCCATGTTCGTGAGACCTTGGGATACTAGGAGAGTGACACATTCCCCGGAGCAAGGGTGTCACACTCCAACATTGTGTGCCACAGGTGCTTTGCATATTAAAATGGTGACCGAACCTGATTGTAAGCCTTACACAGCAAGTTTCTCAAAGGAAAGGTAAGATCGCCCCATGTCCTGAAGGCTTTGCTCAGTGTTCTCCCGGTAAAGCTGCCGCATCCACAGGAGTCCATGGGACCTCTGTGTGGGCAAGGCGGCAGCTTCACATGGAGCACCCAGAAGTAACTCAGGTTGCACCTGGGCTCTCAAAATCAAGCATGTGGATAGTTCAGCAGACTAAAGCACCTGCTTAGGCAGAGCGCGGGGGCCAGGGTTCAATCCCCAACACCACAAGCCGTGCTGGGGCCCAACCTTGGGGCACACCAAGACGGCCACAGACTGGGCGTGGTGGCGCGAGCCTGTAATCCCAGCGCTTGGGAAGCTGAAAACAAGAGGATCATTATGAATCCAATCTGTGTAATGAGACCCTGTAGACTCTGTACTAAATACGTTTTTAAAAAACCATCAAACATGTACTGGTACATTTTTTGTTTTTGTCTTGTTTTGTTTGGTTTTGGAGACAGTGTCTAGTTATGTAGCCCAGGCCAGCCTTAAATTCACTATGCAGTCGACGCTGGCCTTGAACTCAAAGTGAACCTCCTGCCTCAGACTTGAGGTACTGGGATTATACCCATAATCCGCCACCCTCTTGTGCTACCACCCTCTGCTTGAGTTTGCCTGCGTTTCATGTCATCACATGAAATCAAGTGTTCAATTTTCTTTTCTTTTTTTTTTCTTTTTGGTGGAACCGGGGATTGAACTCAGGCCCTTGTGCTTGCCAGGCAAGCGCTTATTCTACTGAGCTATCTCCTCAGCCCCAACTATCTCCCCAGCCCCTCGGTTTTCTGCTAGTGGCATCATGTCAGAATTCAAAAACTGTAGCTTATCGCTAGAGCACCAGTTCTAGCATATGGGTTCCATCCCAGCACCACACGCACGCTCGCACACGCAGAGTTCTGGATATGAAGCATTTTGATTTCTGAGTTTTGGTGTAGCTCATCCTGTACCAGGACCAAGAACTCCATATCCAATAAAGGACATTTCTATGCCTAAGACATCCAGAACCCTAAAACTGTTAACACCTCCGTAGCCGTGATGATGGCTTAGGCCCAGCAGTCCTATGAATGCCCCATAATACAGACAAACCTGGGCCCTGGCCCCACCACAGTCCCAAACTGGAGACACTCACCTCCTCCCACCTGCGCTCCCAGCTCCTCTCTCCAGGTCTCGATGGTGAGGGAGAAGGCGCCCTGGTGGGGGCGGGGGAGGAATGGGTAGAAGGTGGTGAGGGCCAACATACTGTGAAAACCATGTCCAGGCTTGGAGAGTAGTGGCCACTTCGGGGAACTCGGCAAACAAAGGACTACTGCCAGAGGGGTGGCCCCAGGGAAGGAATGAATCATGTGATAAGGGCTTCATCCGGGATATGGGGTTGTCCTGAGGTACCAGGATGGTTCCCTTTTACAGATGATGAAATAGAGGCTGGAAACAGGAAAATCACTTGCCCCTAAGGGTCCAGAATTCAAATTCTGCCCTGTTCCCCTTTGTGTTTTGGGGGACTATGGGGAAGGGAGAGAGGATTTGTTTTTGTTTTTTTTGCGGAACCGGGGATTGAACTCAGATCCTTGAGTTTGCCAGTCAAGCACTTATCCTACTGAGCCATCTCCCTGGCCCCTGGAGAGAGGATTTGGAAGGTAATACTGGAGTTAAATATAGGCCCCAGTGGAAACAGAGGATGAAAAAGATAAGATTAGAGATTCCCAAAACTGAGTATGGGAGTGTCCCTAAGTGCAAGAGACTTGGGGTGGAGATGAGGCTCCCAGTTTTTAAGAACTCCCCAAGGTGCCAAGGTAAGGTCCGATGAATTCTGTTTCTACAAAGTGAATTTAGAGCCAGGGTGCTGACCCTGACAAGCACAAGGGCCTGAGTTCAATCCCCGGTTCCACAGAAAAAGAAAGTGAATTTAGGGGCCCAGTATGCTGAGCTGGAGCCAGCACATGGGGTCCCCAGTGGACTGGGTTTGAGGGGTTGAAAATGGAGGGTCCGGACGGTACAGTGATCTGGGGGCACAGTTAGGGTTTTGGAAGCTGGAGGCAGAAGGAGATCGAGATTTGGGCGGCAGGGTTAAGCACCCAGGACCCGGGACACCGCAGGGCTGGGCTCACCGGCCACACGTCCTGGAAGGGCACGCGCAGGAGGCGGTCGGGCAGCGGCAGGTCAGATGCGGCCGCTCCGGGCTGCTCGGTGTAGACCGGTCCCCGCGCGCTCAGCGCTGCGCCTAGGGCGCACGGGGACTCTGCGGCCTCTTCGGAGACCCCTGGCTTCAGACAGACCCTGAAGAAAAGGCGGCAGAGGCCTCGAGCACTGCAGGAGGACCGCGGGAGCCCTGGGCCCGGCCCCGGCCCGAAAGAATGGATCTGCAACTCTAAGACACCGGCTGGATGTGCCTGGGGCGGAAAGGGACACGGGAAGGGGTGAAGGAGCCGCGAAGACCCGGACGTCTGCCCGCTCTCACGCCCATCTATCCCTTCCCACTCCATTTCCCGCCCAACTCTGACCTGGGGAAGGAGAAGGAATACCAGGGTCAGCAACTGGGACAGGGTCCGGGCCATCCGCAAGCAGACCATGGCCTTTCAGGGGTCCCAGGAGTCCCAGATGCTGGCTCCCGGGTCTTATATCTGAGGGGAGGGCCCCGCCCCTTCAGGCAGCCTCCGGGCTCCTGGGGACCAAGGGGAGGGGGTTCGGGAGAAGGGAACCATGCGGGAGCAACTTGGAGAGGGTGTGCGCACTACCATGTAGTCAGCGTGTGATCCCGTGCGGAACTGTAGCCGACTTTGAGTGTGGCTGGGGTAGAGTAGGATGTTTGGGAGGCTATGCGTGACTACTAAGATTCTGTGTGTAAACGCGATGTGCTCAGGGGCTACTGGAGCATGTGTCTAAGTGGGACTACGTATGTGGACAGCGTGTACCTGGAATTGTGAAGTTGTAAAATAATTCTAAGATTGTCTATGCATGAGCCTATGCCTGAATGGGCAAGCAGGCGTGTAGGTGACTTCCACGATTGTGTGACACTCTTGAGATTGTGTGGCCCTGTGACAGTCCCTGTATGTGTATGTGGACATGTGCGAACACTGTATAGTCGTCTGAACCTGTTGATTTTGTGGTCTGCGCAGGGGTCCCTAGCTGGCAGTGTGTGCGAGTGTGGTGTGTGTGTGTGTGTGTGTGTGTGTGTTGCATTTGTGAAGTCCATGAGAGTAGCTGTGAGTAAATCTGGTGAGATGAAGATCCGAGGTTCTTTGTGGACCACTGCCTGAGCGTGCGCTCGCCGGCGTGTATTATCCCCACCACCACCACCACCAAACAAAGCCATGGTCCAAGCCTGGAAGCCCCAGACACAGCCGACGCCCGGCGCGCCCCGCCTCCTCTGAGGGGACGCCCAGCTGTATGTAAATAACGCCATCTGCCCGGCGGCCGCGCCCCTCCCCCGTGGTTGCAGCTGGGCTGCCCGTTTGGCCCCCTGGAAGGTGTGAGGAGCAAACGGACAGGAAATTCGTCCGCAAACATCAGGGGCCCGGGCTGCTCCCGGGCCCTAGGATGAATGGGGCACCCTGGGGCCCCAGAAGCCCCTTAGTATTCCAGGACCACAACAAATAAAGCCAGTTAGGAGCAGATGTTCCCGCAACCCCTCCACCATCTCCCCTCCCCACTACCCTGTCATGCTTGGTGCCAGGCCCTGGGCAAAGCCCATTAGATGGAGGAAACTGGTTTTCATTTCCAGAGTTAAAAAATGCAATACTATGGGTAGGAGATTTAGTTCAATGGCGCAGGACGTGGCTTGCAATCATGAGGTCCTGAGTTCAGTTTCTGTACCACAAAATGAATAAAAATAAAATATTAAGAGATTAGTAATTTTAGTTTGTTTTGTTGTTTTTGAGACAGGGTCTCACTATGCACTCTTTATTTCTTTTCTTTTTTTTTTTTTTTTTTTTTTTTTTTTGTGGAACTAGGGATTAAACTCAGGCCCTTGCACTTTCCAGGCAAGTGTTTAGTCCACTGAGCTATCTCCCCAGCCCTCACTATGCATTTCAGGCTGTCCTTGAACTCACTTTGTAACCCAGGCTAGTCTTTTTCTTTTTTGTGGAACTGGGGATTGAACTCAGGTCCTTGCACTTTCCAGGGAAGCGCTTATTCCACTGAGCCATCTCCCCAGCCCCGCCAGGGCTAGTCTTGAACTCAATGATGCTCTGCCTCAACCTGCCCACAGCTGGGATTTTACAGGTGTGTTCCACCAAGCCCAGCTCGAGGCTAGTAATTTTAGGGGAAGTTTTTTTCTAGGCACTTGTTTTGCAGAGTCCAACAGAGCCAGGCATACAGGAATGCTCAGAACTTTTATGAATGAAACTTTAGTCTAAGGAATTTCTGCCTACTCCCAGGACCTGGAGTCGTGGAATCCTCCTGAGCCCTGAGTGATGAAGGCCTGAGTCAGCTCTTGGAGAACTTCACATACCCCTCGGTTCCTCTCATTCACACATCTCCTGTACTAGGGGCCCTACCCAAGGGGATCCGGCACCTTCCCAGAGCTCCCCTAGCCCCGTGACCTCTCTTGTCTGACCCTACCACTCTGTCCACACATCCACCTTCTGGCCCTGACCATTCTGGCCTTGGGTGTTTGTTTTTCTAAGCACAAATCTGACCATGTACTCTAGCACAGAATCTCTAGTGACTCCCAGGACCTTCAAAACATCTCATGAGCTTCTAAGGCTGACATTCCAGGGCAATTGTTCCACATGGCTCCTATTCAGATAGGATCTGTGGTCCCCAGGGCGTTCTATCCAGTTCTTGTGGACCCAGAGCACTGGGAAGCAAGGTGGGCCTGGCACTGGTTCAGGTGGAAGACTGAGTTAGTTCCCTGCACAGGGGTCATCTTGCAGAATCTGGGTAGCTGTTAGAACCAGCTGTGGGAGGAGACACAGTCCTGGCTTGGATAACCAGGGAGAGTAATAGATTCCAGGTCTGAGACTTCCCAAACTACTTTAACTGGTCACAGTGGTGCATGGCTGTAATAGCTACTCAGGAGGATAATACAGAAGGGTCACAAGTCTGAGGCCATCTTGGGCCACACAGCAAAACCCTGTCTCAAAAATTTAAAAAGGGCTAAGGATGTATCTTAGCAGTAGAGTCCTTGCTTAACATATGAGGGTTTTAGCACTCATCATTATAAATCGTCAGTCCTGGGGCCGGGGAGATAGCTCAGTAGAATAAGTGCTTGCCTGGCAAGCACAAGGGTCTGAGTTCTGGTGGCACACACCTATAATCCTAGCACTGGGAAGACTGAGGCAGGAGGATCGTTTTGATTTCAAGACCAGTCTGGGATGCAGTGTGAGCTCAAGGCCACCCTGAACTGCATGGCAAGACCGTCTCAAAAAGACAAAAACTGGGCCAAGGAGATAGCTCAGTAGAATAAGCACTTGCCTGGCAAGCACAAGGTCCTGAGTTCAGTCCCAGTAGCGCAAAAAAAAAAAAAAAAAAAAGACAAAAACAGAGCCAGCCAAATAGCTCAGCAGATTAAAGCACCTGCAAGCAGGCACAGGGTTTGCTCTCCAGGCCTGCCCTGCTGGCCCCACTCCTGGGACGCGCTGAGATGGCAACTGAGACTGAGCGTAGTGGCGCGCACTTGTAATCCCAGCTCTTAGGAGGCTGTAAACAGGCGGATCAGTGTAAGTCTGCTTTAGGAATAAGACCCTGAACACCCTGGAGACCCTTCCCTAAAATACAAAAAAAAAAAAAAAAACCCTGAGAAAACAGCCTTTGTCCTAGGTTTCATCCCCTGCATCAACAAAGCCTTTACTAGGGGGGGTGTTGCAGGCACAATGGTCATGTGCAGGACTGTTCTGTGTTTCATGTGTATGGTGTTACTTAAGGGATTTCTTTTTTGGCAGAACTGGGGATTGAACTCAGGCCCTTGTGCTTGCCAGGCAAGTGCTTATTCTACTGAGCCATCTCCCCGGCCCCACCTTAAGGGATTTCTGAGCATCTTTTTGACTGTTTAGGACTTTTCCTTATAGGCTGACCTTAGAAAACACAGAAGGCCATGCTGAGGTGATAAATGAGCTAAGACTTAAAGGAAGGAAGGAAGGAACCACAGAAATCCGGAAGGGAAGTGTCCATGCTGCGAGGAAGAGGCCCTGCAGATTTCTGTGCGGCTGGGTCGAGATGGCGAGGCTGTTCATTGGAAACCTGCCCCAGGAGGCCACAGAGCAAGAGATCTGCTCACTCTTTGAGCAGTATGGGAGGTGCTGGAATGTGACATCATTAAGAACTATGGCTTTGTGCACATAGAGGACAAGACAGCAGCGGAGGATGCCATCCGTAACCTGCACCACCATAAGTCACATGGGGTGAACATCAGTGTGGAAGCCAGCAAGAGCAAGAGCAAAGCTTCAACCAAGTTACACGTGGGTAACATCAGCCCCACCTGTACCAACAGAGCTTCGGGCCAAATTTGAGGAATACGATCCAGTCATCAAAATGTGACATCGTGAAAGATTATGCCTTTGTACACATGGAGAGGCAGAAGATGCAGCAGAGGCTATCCGAGGCCTTTGTAACAGAGTTTCGAGGTGGGATGTGTGCGGGCTGAAATCCCAAGCTGTGGTTGTGCATGAGAATACACACCTTGTTGGTACCCGTCTCCGAGATGTTTTCAGCTCTGTGCATTCAGTCCCTCAGGAGCTAGGGACCTTAATTTACCTTGCTAAGTTCAAACCTTTCTTTTTCTCTCTAGTGCCCATTATCCTGTTCTTGCTGTTTAATACTTCTGTAGCTTCCTATTCATGTTGTTTTCCCAGCAGGCCTTACTGTATGCAGAAGCGGTGGTGGGGGCTGCCCTGTCTCCTGCCTCCAGGGGACACTGGATTTGGGAATGACTTTGGTGAAAGAGTCACCACTGCTCTTGGGTTTCTTTTAGCCCTAAGGCTAGACCTAGAGGTGGATCACTTTTAACTTTCCAGTTAAATAAATGGTTTTTCTTTTTTGGCGGAACCAAGGATTGAACTCAGGCCCTTGCGCTTGCCAGGCAGGCACTTATTCAACTGAGCTATCTCCCCTGTCCCCTTGGTTTTTCAATTTTAAAAAAAGAGAGATTCAGAAGGAAATCCTCCATGCAGGGAACAAGTGCAAAGGCCCTGAGGCAAGCTTTGCTGGCACTCCCGGGGAGTCCCACAGCTTGTTTTCTATTTTCATCCTGGGCTTTGCTCTAGCAGAAGACCCAAGAGAACCAAGAGGTCTTCCTTGACTATTCCACCCCATCAAATTAAGAACCTTGAAGCCCCCAAATCATTATCTTCCTACCATATTTATGAATTATGGAGAAATACTTGAGCACTGTCTGCCTCTATAGGAACACCAGCTTGGCGAAGACTAGACTGTCCATGTGTTCACTCACTGCTGCAGCCGTGTAGAGGGGAGAGAAGTTCACACCCTCAAACATGCATGACTATGTGAATGAACGAGAAGGAACTCATACTAAGACCTTAAGGATGAGGGGACAGGTGTGAAGACCTTGTCCAGGACCTCAGGGCACCTATGAAGTGGGCCAAGGGAATTCAGAACCTGTTGGGGATGCACT